ACACTTCTATGCAGTAAATTGTATGCTTACCATATACTATCTCACTTTAGACAATGAAAGGCAATCAATGCAGTTTCTCCTTTAGTTACCACAATTCCAAGTGATCAAGCACCCTCTTTTTAATAGGAACCACATTGACTCTATCTGTAGTACAAGACTGTTTTTATATAAATCAAATTTTGAATTGAGAAATGTTAAGTTCTATACCACATGAAGAACAATGTTACCAACAGATTCTCCTCAATTATTCCATAAATTGAGGAAATTGCTCTACAAGCCACATCTTTGGTTCCTAACAGACATAAGTGAGATTGTTCTACTTGTAAGTACAGCATTTCAGACTGCAGTTTCAGCACCCTACAAACCATACAGAATCCAAAATCTGGTTTTAAACAGAAATGAAATAAAATCTCACTCAAACTTTTTTCTCTGAGATCTAGTTCTCTTACATTTCTTCTAAGATGTAGCCATGAAATATCAAAATTTCTAAATACTTTAATCTCTTTTCACTTTGCACCTCTCCAGAATTTTTTAAAATGGAAATGCCTCATTTTGATAAAAAACTATCAAATTCACACAACATCAATCATCATTTTGTTGGCACAGAATCAACTGCTATTTGTAATTTTCCTACAGAGAACTATAATTTCAGTAATATATGGCAAAGTTTAATGCCAACATAATTATGAAGGATGTCAAAAGATCTCATAACTGTGTCTCAAAATTCCACTTTAACAGGCCTATAACTTCATGCTGTGTATGGCATCCTAGCAAGAGGTCTTAGGTGACATGGAGCAACATGTTTCAATAAAGCAAGAGCAGTTCAGGCAGCATCAGTTCCCCCAGCACCACCCGCTACGTTTACGTGTGCAGGGTCCTCTGAGCACGGCACCTTGGAGCAGCGCTCTCCAGAGACACACGAGGGCACTGATTTCTATCCAAATATAGTTACAGCCCCCTGCAGACATTACTGCACTGCTCACTCTCAAGTCATGCTGTTACTTCCTTTTTTCATCTATTTTAATCGATTGCATCTACTGTAATCGCATACCCAAAGACGTGATGGGACTCAGTCTCTGAGAGCCTGCTGAGCCCTGTATGGGTGACTGAACATATGTGATGTGCTGGTATATATGATCCATGATTCTGATAATATGATTTAAACTGCTTTGGCTCTTGGATATAATCAGCCTACAAACACAACAGGTTTTGGCTAACTAAAGAAAAGACAAAATATTTACCTTGCTAAAATAGAAATGCCAGCTAAATGAGGGAAGTGAAGGCACAGAGGTATTTACCTGCCAGAGACAGTGCACGTAAATTGAAAGGGATGCCAACAATTGCATAATAAGAGGACAGCAAAGATTTTACTCATTAATGAAAAATAACTGCAATAATAGGTATGCATCTCTATAGAAGTCTGATCGTCAGTTCCCTCAGGGCTGACCAGTAGGAAAACAATTTCATTACAGATATGAATAGCTAAGTCTGTTAAGTATTGCACTTTGCATTCCATTTTCCTCTGTAAAGAAAGCTGTCTTTTCCACAAGGAAGAACGCCTGTGGAAATAGGACCCAAACATTACAACATGAACTTCTTCTAACCCATCAAATGTTAGCTTCTAGAACTGATAGCTTGACTCAAGAATACAGAGTATACCTTTAGCTATTTTTGGAGTACTGGAAAGGTACAGAAGCCAGAAATAAAATTAATTCTAATTTATCTTGCTACTCTACCCTTCAGCATCTTGTAATTTACTGAAGTCTTAAGTAAAAGCTACCTTAAGAAAAATTACTTTTCTGTCATGCTCTTTACCTATAAAACAACTGTTCCTACTTGGAAAGGACTACAGACCAGAATAAAAAATCCAGTTCTGTATCTATTTTGAGTGTCAATTTCTTAGCACTGTGACAAATAACAAGAAATAATATAACTATTATTTGAAAAGACATTTAAAATTCACCTTATAAGGCATGTATTGTAAGTCTGATAAACAGTCCTGAAAACAGTTATGACCTACTTTCAGAAAAACATCTGGTATAGATTTAGTTATAAAATATGAATGAAGAAAACCACTGAAGTAAAATTATATTTTACGAAACACTTGAAAAAAGCTTCAGAGATACAGACAGTCATTTCTACACAGATTTCCATATGAGCACACATCTTTCTACAGAAGTAGTGTTATCTTCTGAGATTGGTATGCTTTTTCAAGCCTGATATGTAAGGAGATATTTAGCCAGCCTATTGAACAATATAATGTCTTCAGAAAGTACCTAGGAAATTTTTATACTTAAACCAGTTTCTCCATGATACCAGTGCCCTGACACCTGAATATCTCCTGCCTCTCTGTTCCAGAAAATTGTACTTTATAGGACACCTATAGGAATTGAGTGTTTTGGTTCCAGATTGTACCAACACACGATTCCTTGTGCAGGCACACACAATCTGAGGAAAGGTACATGATGAGACAAGCAAGAGAAATTTATGAATTCATTAAACACCCTAACTTCAAGTTTTAATCCTCTGGTACTAATGTACAATGCTGGTGTCCAGCATTTTCTGTAGGATGCACCAATGGATGTAAACAGAATGGTTTGGAAGGGATGTTAAACACCATCTAGCTACAACCCTCCTGCAGAGGGGGCAGGGACACCCTCCACTTGGGTTGCTCAGAGCCCCATCTAACCCTAAACATTTCCAGGGATGAGGCATCCACAGCTTCTTTGGGCAGCCCTTTCCAGTGCCTCACCAATCTCATTGTGAAGGATCTGAAGACATTCAATGCGTGACCATGGTCACACTTCATGGTGTGACCTCACCCTCACCAACCCAACAGGCCATCACGTTGTGCCACCGTAGACACAGCACCATGGCACACACCTCATCCAGGGCCTGGCATGTGGGCACAGGCCTGCTCACCACAACCAGCAATGCTTGTGTGACTCAGCTCTTTAAAGAGGCCAGCCATGAGCACAGGCCTGTCCCAGGGAGCAGCCAAGGGAGATGGGCTGCCAGCCACAGCCATGCAGGCTCCTGCCGCTCTTCTAACAGCACCCAATTACAGCTCCTCAGCCAAGAGTTTGTCAGAACACTCTACTCGTGGTCAGTGGGCCTAAAGACTTTGAGTACTCTTTGAGACATTTATATTTCACATTTGTCCCTGACTGGAGTATCTAATCAGTCACTGGGAAACCAACTGGATGTAACAAGGAAAAACTTCAGTTTGAAAGTACCGAATAACAAAGACAATGTGGTAATTAAATCAGATCTAGACCAGACACAAAATACAGATTCTCTCCAGTGCTGAGACATACTTGAGCAATGTACAAAGAGCTGACATTCTTCATTTAGTAGCTCTTATGGCAAGAGAGACCAGATTAGACTACAAAAAGTAATGTAGTGCATTGTATATGATTTGATATTCAAGTGCATCTATACAGTTACATGGTTCTGTACTATCACAAGACAAAAATTTAGATTACCAGGTGAGCAAGTGATTACTTTTTATTCTTGCCTAACCAGACGCTTCCCAGATTTGTCTAAAGGTGACTTCATCTTTTATCTGTCAATTATTTCAAAGAAAATAGAAATGTACACAGTAATGTAAACTTGCAGGTTTCCATTACCTGCAAGCAAGTTGGTAAAACACAAGGCTTGCTTACTGGTGGAGTCACCAGTGTCTGCATGATATTCGGAGCTTTCTCTATATACCTTCTTTCCCCTCTTCTTCATTCCCTTCTGTTCATACTGCCTTCAGTAAGTCACACAGTCAAGCTCCCTACCCTCTTCTGCAGTTACCTCTCCTTCCTTTCTTTTTTGTAGTTCTACTCTTTAGAGTACTTGAAATCACACTCACATCCCCCAAAAGTTTACTTAAAAAAATTACCACAGTTTCTGACAGTGCAAACCATTATTTTTCTCCATTTTGTTATATGTTAAAACTCTTACCACAAAGTTGTTTATCACCAAGCAACTCTCAGTTGTTTGGAAACAACTGAGCAATGTCTTATCCATGTTTGAATGGTGGCTAGCACAATGGAGACCTTCAGATGGGACACACACAGCAGGGCACTGTAAACTTACGTTGAACCATATAAAAACATCACAACAGTTTATCTTGAATACTGACAATACAAGATATCTTCTGTATATACCTTGAAATATATTATATATATGCATACTTATATAAATTGCTTAAATTCTTCTTTTATATGAATGTGATTCAAATGCAAGTAACTTTTTTCTGTGTAAAATACACTTGTCCTTTACAGTGTCATTATTTGACATTGAGCTTTTCAGAGTGTATTATATGGATTTTCCCCAAAATAAGAAGAAATAGAATAAAATGTGTAAGATTTAAAACACTTTAAGCATCAAAGCAGAAAAACTCTCCATTTTCCAAGGTAGCATTTCAGCATCCAATTTGAACTGAGAGATACAGAAAAGAGGAAAACTTCTACAGATGGCAAATATGCTTGTAGGCTGAAAAAAATAGTAATTAAAAAGCAATAAAACATTTGCATTAAAGTAATATAGAATAATTTTGTTCAGGAAAATCCTTCAAAATAAAGTTGCATGTTCAAAGGTGAAAAAACCTCATGTTGAAATACCCAAACACTATCTGTGACAAAACAAAAGGCATCTTGCAACATTTCAGCAACCCTTCACAAACTTCTGTACGGAATCCCCCCAAATGGAAGTACAGCTCATGCTGGCTCCTGAAAAGCTGAAAAGTTAGGAATCAGGGTATTAAGCAGGTTCCACAAAGCAGAAAATAAAAGCTTCGGTCCAACCTGAAAAGGATCTTTGCTTAAAAAAAAAAAGTTTAGTAAATGTTCAGAGAAAAGAGATAATTGACCATTTTCTTCATCCCATAGAATATTGTTGATGAGGCAGCTTCAACAGGATCTTCAACTGATTAAACTGTAATACATAAGTATTATGTACATTTAAATGGTAATTTGAAAGGGGGGGAAAAAAAAAAATCTAGTTCCTACCAGTTTGGCTGAGTTGTGACGTGCTACGGCTTTTTCTTGATAGCCCCACGATGGCGACCATCTTTGCACCAATGCTGGAGCGTCTCTTTTTGCTGCCACCACCAACAGTGCCCACTGCCGTGTCCGACTGGCTGCCATCGTTCTTCTCCAGCGTGTACATCTCCCCACTGATGCTGGTGCTCTTAGTCATGTTCTTTCCTGAGACGGCCATCTGTCTGCTTTGCATTTTGGATGTAAAGACACTGTCAGCCAGTTGACGGATAAACAGTGCAGACAAAGAGTAAAAAGGGGAAGACAGAAAAGGACAGGTTTCAGATGGAAGGTTTTGGGAGACTGGAGGGTAAAAGCAGCTAATCACACAGGTAGGGTTTGGCTTTAAGAGGTAAAAGGAGAAAATTTAATTCTAGGATCTTGGTTGGTCCACTGTAAAAACACTTGACTCATCAAAGTTGTGTTTTAAAATACAAGCTCTTATTTACTGATTGACTTAAAACTTGTTACCAGCAAAAGCATACCAAAGAATTAATGCATCCATATATAATATAGTCACTATTTGTTTAGAAAATTTAAGTTCTGTCGTCAGTGCTGTGCACCTCTTCTTCTGACATATATACACACAAATAATGTATTTTTCTTTGGGAAACAGACACTTGATTCATTACTGAGTGGAAAAGCACATCAGTCTGAAGCCCATTTTTGGTTACTAAACATTCAGATATTTCAAGGATGTTCTCAGTAATCTGGTTTAGCTCAGTCACTGTACAGTAATGAACATCCATAGGTCTTCCCTCCATCTCTGCATCAACAAATACAGGTACTACATATGTATTTCACACAACACTTGACTGTTACGTGGCATGGATCATCAATACTGATAAAACGGAATTCAATTCTAATGTACTCATTTAGAGACTGTGTAAACGTGCTCTATGTGGCTGCACACATCTATTTGGCTAAACTATCTGCTGCAGCACTTCATGCGTCCCAGGGGAACCTGACCTACCAGTGGTCCAGGCTAAGGGACCTTTCCTTGCCTCAGAAATGGCAATCTACACTGGTGACAACAGCACTTATCCAAATTTTGCCTTGACATCCAATTGGTAGGTGTCTGAACAAATATCCAGAACTGGAAGCTCTGTGGGGTACATGTGGGCCTGAAAATATATAGAGAATTTTCTATTTCTATGAAGTTCTTGCACTGAACTTAGACATTTATTATTATTTTCAGTACAGTGCTTCTCACCAAAAAGTCCTCATGAGATGCCATTTTAAACAATCCACAAAACTGTGGACTATTTCTGGAACTCAGGGGAAATTATTTCTTTTGTTAAATCACCAATATATAAAGGCTAAAATTAATATTTTTGGTTTTTAAACAGATTTTCAAATACATGCAAAGACTGTTGCTAGAACTTTAGTGCTCAACAAATGTCTCTAGAGCAAATTTTTCTGAGTATAGAAAAATATATGCTCCTCTTCCCTTACCTATAGTGGCCTGAAATCTATTTCATATAAGGAAATTCATATAATTTTTTCTTTATAAAGTTTTTTTGCAATACATATTCTGCCAGTTACTTATCTATGGAATTAATGCAGTGCACTCAAAAGTAAATGAAGACTTGTAGCTTAGCCACAACCCACAGGGAAAGCCAAGAGCTAGTTCATAGCAGAAGTAAACCTTTACCATTGAAAAAAATACTGAGTGTACTTCTCCAGGAAGTTACAAGGAAAAATATGAATGAGAGTTTGGATCACATGGATGGAGGAGCACAAAACAAAGCTGAAAGAGAGCCACAGTGGCCTTGCCTGGACACACAATCACAGAAGACTGAACACAGTGGTAACCTGAAAGCTTTTTTTCCTACCCTCTTTTAGGTCTCTTTGTTGTTATATGTTAGTACACACTGATTCTCACTGGTGCATTTATCACCAAGGGAGGAGTGGGATAGGATGTGGGTAAAAAGGAAGGCAGGGAAACAGTAAAAGAGAATTTGTATTTCTGTGTCTTATTAGCACCATGTGAAATTACTTGTTAGAGGATAACATCACATGCTGTATTTCTATCAAACCAACACCTCCAAGAATTCAAAGAAAACAGATGATACAGAAACTAGTTCTCAGTTTCAACATTATCTTGCGTGTAAAAAATACTGGAGTTCTAGAATAAACATTGCTCTGAAGAGCTAGTGTCTTCAACTTTATCTTAAGCCAAGTTTTACTAAAAATCTGAAAATTAGAGGCCCTTATTGTGGGAAATGGAAAAATAGAAATTTCCACAGATGCTGAGGGGTTCAGTCTGCAGCCTTGGAAAGAGCTCGGGTTAATGTAATGATGAAGGTACACAGACATTGGGTAGAAAAATTATAAACTTATGTTCTTATAAGAATATGCCTAGAGTAGGGAAGAAATTACATTAGGTAAAATAGTTTGAGGTTTGAGCTGTAATAATCTGACTTACAGAGTAAGTAAGAGATCTAGAAACTGTAATAGAGGTGTGTGTATGAGTATGTGACCTGTCAGCTTGGTGGCTAAGAGACAGAGGCAGTGCAGCAAAATTAAGCAAAAGTGATAGGTTAATAAGTGAAAACAAGTTTCGTGTCAACTGTCTATTGAACCAAAAGGTTATATATTTCTGTGTGAAGAAGAAACCCATGACTACCTTGAGCTACAGCTGACTTGTTCCTCTAAATCTCACGCCTTCAGACTGACATCTTACCTGTCTTACTTGAGCAATAAATCATCTCAAAGCATGGTGGTCCCATTCCTCGTTATTCATCTGGACACCTTATCCAGTAATGCTGTTTTTAATCCAGGTTCTCAAAGGAAATATGATTAATGTGTGCTTTCAGTCAGGTCTGTCTCTTTTTAGTACTTTTTAAAAATCAGATCAAATTTGACAGAGCAATAGGAAAATAAAGCTATTTAGTTTCCAAAACTGTTTTGAAAACAGATCTCTGGAGAGAGATCTTACGAATGCTTCTTTGGGAAAGACTGCAGAAGAAGTCATTATTGAATCTCTCCCAGTAGGAGCTCATTAGCATATATAGGCTGATGGGGGAAGTAAGTTTTTCCACTGCTTGCAGAACAATCAGCGATCTATTTTTTCAAAAATAATATCCAGAAAATGAGTTCCTGTCATATGGAGAATAGTAATTAATGCATTGTTTTAGAACTGATATTACCATTCAATAAGGGTCCTATATCATCAGTGGAAACAGAAATATTCTGCATTTTAATATAAAAAGTTACACAGAAGAGAAGGTCACCATTTCCTGAGTTGAATGTGCCTCTGATGTTCTTCTTGTGTTTTTTCCAAGATTTATAGTTCTATTTAAGAGGAATAGTTGCCCTTGTTAAAGAAATCAGTGTATTAAAAGAGTCACTATGGTTTCACTGTGCAGTTAGCTATGAAAATACTATGAATTACTAGAGTTTGCTTCTTGGCTGCTGTTTAAAGGCTTCTGTATCACAAAATGTTTTGCGGTGTACTCCTACCAGTAATGATGTAGACTCCTATCAGAAACCTTCTCTTGGCCAACTTTTTGAGAAAGGTAGGAAAGGGAATTCAAATGAGGAGAAAGGGATTTAGATTTAAGTGGATATACCAAATACTAGTACAAATGGCTGATACCAAAATTTCATTCACAAACTTCAAATTTTTTTCCAGTAGAGCTCCAAAACTATTTTCTTCAATTAAAGGCTTGGAGGTTTACCTCTTCTCTAAAAGCAGCAGAAAAGACATCTTTGCTACAGTCCTAACCAGCAATCAGCCCTTGGAGAAAGCCATCTCATAGAAGGGGCTTTGTTTCTTTGCAATTTTTCTCTTAGCAAAAAAGCTTTGAGAAATACATGCTAGGAGAGTTCTGAGTGGTTTATAGTGCCTCATAATAAACATAGATTGGTCACGAGTACTTCCTTCATCAGCACTCTGAATTCTTCCTGGCCATCCAAACCCTCATTCACTAATGTTTCTTGGCAGACACTTGATAGCCTCTCCAGTACAAACCATCCTTCTACCCAGCCTGTCTTTTTACAGTGCCACAAATGGATCATTCCCAGAAAATCTGGGTGTTGTATGTCAGATTTGGTTCCTTTCAGGGGTAATAGAAAGGTTGAACTCAGAGTAATATTTAGAGAGTAAATCATACAACTTTTTTCCTCTAACAAGAAACAGAAATTACTGGAAGTTTTCTTTATAAGTACATATACACAAACAAAATCTCACAGACATCCAGTTAAATATGTTCAACAGTATTTTAGAACAGACATTATATAAAAGTATATACATATAATGTATGAAAATGTATGAGTTAATTAATAGATATGCAGTAAAAATAGGGTTCCCAAGGTGTCCTATAAGATAATAATAATTTTTAAAATATCCTCAGCAAAAACAATATACAGCCAGATGCTGGGGGGAAGAATAAAATAAATGGGGGAATAAAGTAATTATCCTAGTCCAAATAATACGTGCATAATGACATAATAATACCATTACTGAAACCAAAGCAAGAGCAAAATCAGCACACAACCCCAGCTATGTGGCAGCCCACAGCCTACAACAAGAGCAGAGTGAAGGTGGCAGCCAGGCTATTGCCTTTGGCTTAACAGAACCAAATTAAAGAGGAGAGTGAAGGGCAAAGCTCACACAGGAACGTTCCTTCCTGCACTATCCCAAACTCCAAGAAACCACCTGATGAAACCAAGAGCTGGAGACAGGCCTCAGTGGAAATATCTTTTCAGACACTTCCATTTTCCAGTGGAAAAAGATAAAGAAAATATGCATAAATTTTAGAGGAATTCTCAAAGCTAAAGCAGAAAGTTCTTAAAAAAAAAATAAAAAAATAAAATAAGTCATTAGAAAAGAAATTACAGTAAGATATCTATATATACTTGTAATTTAAAGCCTATGGTGGAGTATGAGAGCCCAAACACTAAACAGTATTCTTAAAAATATACCATGTTAGCCAGCTGAGGAGAATCAGACTGACAGATACCCGTGATGTCAAAAGTATTCTAAGTTTTGAAGTTTATTTGCTGATAATAATAGATTAGGAGAAATTCCTGACTACCTTGAATGCAGAGAGGCTCAGCAGAGACTTTGACAAATTAAAGGTCTGGGAAATCACCAACCATATGAAGTTTAATGAAGACTAAGCACTGAATTCTGCACCTGGGATGGGGATTGGATGTACAGACTGGAAAATGAGAGTCTGAAGACCAGCACCACAAAAAGCAACCT